TTGTTTCATTCAGAAATATACATGCTCTGGAGCATTTTATGCTGATTCAAATATGTCTCCCAATTTTCTTAGTTTTTGAGCAAATTTTACCTTGATATTTTGTGAATAATACCCCAATATACTAAACACTGTACAAGAAATATAACATTAAAAAAAGAAATGTGGAATCAACGTGAAAATCAACTATATAGGAATCTGGGTTGTTGTAGGTTTTTTCGGGCTATATGGCCATGGTCTAGAGGCATTCTCTCCTGAAAGAATGCCTCTAGACCATGGCCATATAGCCCGAAAAAACCTACAACAACCCAGTGATACATCCAAATATATATAGAAATAGATCTATCGATTCATATCTATATGTTCGATATGGGGGATATCTGTATATATCTATATGTTATGTATCCACCTATATCTATATGTGAGATATGGGGGTTATCTGTTTATATCTACAGTATATCTATTCATCCATCCACCCATCTATATATGTTGGATATGGGGGATTATATGTAGCTATCTATAGTCTATATATCTCTCTCTATATATATATACATATACTGTATATGTTGGATATGGTAAAAAGGTAAAGGTTTCCCCCTGACATTAAGTCCAGTCATGTCTGACTCTGGGGGTTGGTGCTCATCTCCATTTCTAAGCCAAAGAGCCAGTGTTGTCCATAGACACCTCCAAGGTCATGTGGCCAGCATGACTGCATGGAGCGCCGTTACTTTCCCGCTGGAGTGGTACCAATTGATCTACTCACATTTGCATGTTATCGAACTGCTAGGTTGGCATAAGCTGGGGCTAACAGTGGGAGCTCACGAACCTGCTATCATGCGGTCAGCAAGTACAGCAGCTCAGTGCTTTAGCCCTCTGTGCCACTTCAGTGTATATAATGTGTATATCTATATCTATCTATCCTATATGTTGGATATGGGGGGATATCTTTATATATCTACATACAGTCTGTCAGTCAGTCAGTCAATAAGTCTGTCTGTCTGTCTGTCTGTCTCTCTATCTATCTATCTATCTATCTATCATCTATCTATCATCTATCCATTTATTTATAGCTATATGTTGGATATGGGGGATATCCATATTCAGTCAAAGTCTGTCTGTCTGTCTCTCTATCATCTATCTACCTATTTATATCTATATGCTGGATATGGGGGATATCTATATTCAGTCAGTCTGTCTGTCTGTCTATCTATCTATGTATCATCTATCTACCTATTTATATGTTGGATATGAGGGATATATATATATACACACACACATACATACATGTTTATCTATATATATATGTTGGATATGGGATATCTATATTCAGTCAATCTGTCTGTCTCTCTATTGATCATCTATCTACATATTTATATCTATATGTTGGATATGGGATATATCTATATTCAGTCAATCAGTCTGTCTGTCTGTCTCTCTATCATCTACCTATTTATATGTTGGATATGGGGGATATGTGTGTGTGTGTGTATCTATCTATCATATATCTATCTATCTATCATCTATCTATCTATCTATCTATCTATCTATCTATCTATCTATCTATCTCTATATGTTGGATATGGGGGATATATCCAACATATATATATATCAGTCTATCTATCTATCTATCTATCTATCTATCTATCTATCTATCTATCTATCTACCATCTATCTATCTGGGTTGTTGTAGGTTTTTTTGGGCTATATGGCCATGTTCTAGAGGCATTCTCTCCTGACGTTTCGCCTGCATCTATGGCAAGCATCTTCAGAGGTAGTGAGGCATTCTCTCTACCTCTGGCAAGCATCCTCACTACCTCTGGGGATGCTTGCCATAGATGCAGGCGAAACGTCAGGAGAGAATGCCTCTAGAACATGGCCATATAGCTTGAAAAAACCTACAACAACCCAGTGATTCCGACCATGAAAGCCTTCGACTATCTATCTATCTCTCTATCTCTCTATCTATTTATATTTATATTTATATTTATATCTATCATCTCCCCCATAGCCAACATGGATATGGTTCAGGGGATTCAAACCCTGGATATGCATATGGATACGGGATATATCCAGCATGGATATGGGAGATCTATACTGTACGCAAGCAGAGTAAGATCTGAATTCCATTTGTTAGTCCCAAATAGAGTAGATGCACTGAATCAACAGGAATCACCTGTCTGTTGCTCATTATTCCCCAGCCGAACTCAGCAGTACTCTTTTGTGGTCTATGGGTGCATCTACACTGTGGAATTAATGCAGTTTGACACCACTTAAACTGCCATGGCTCAATGTTGTGCAATCCTCGGAGTTGTCGTTTTCCATGGTCTCGAGCCCCCTCTGCCAAATAACGCTGGTGTCTAACCAAACTTCAACTCCCAGGAGCCCACTGCATTGAGACATGGCAGGTCAAGTGGGGTCAAACTGCCTTAATCCTACAATGTAGATGCAACCCTAGGAAACAGATGTTTGGTTGGGTTAAACCAGGATAAAGATAGCTGCATGAGTGTGTCTAAAGCTAAGAATAGTTGGAGTGTGTCGAATTTCTGTTCTTTCTGGTCTTTCCAGCACAATCATGTTCCTTCCGTATCGGGAAATAGGTGCCCACAGCATGCATTTTTTTAAAAAAAGCAACCCAAAGTCACATCCCCTTTTCATGTGTTTGAAATGTTTCGGAGGCACTTTTGCTGATGGAAGCTGTCTTACGTCATTGTGGGGACTCCCTGCTTTGCACATAAAGGGAGTGACATCACTGACCCCAAGGAACGTAATGGAAAAAAGGCCTCCTCTGCAGGAAGTGATGCGGGGAAGTCTCCCAACCGCAAGAAGTGTTGCCAGGACTGCATTTGCCACCAAAATGTCACAATTCTGTTCTGGGGACGAAAAGAGACGTGGCCCATTCTTTGTGTTGAAATAGGAGAAAGTTCAAGGTGATTCTGACCAAACCAGCGTATCCTATCCACTGTTTGGAGTCTCTACCAGAGTAGAACCATCACAGCACAGAATGGACCCATTTGTGGGCTTCTTATAGGCTTCCGGATTGACTCCAAATGATATGGATGCTATCAGATGCTTTCCTTGGGTTGCTATTGCCATCCACTGAGGCTGGATGTGCACTGGCATATAACCCCGTTTCTGGATCCAGATTATCTGATTTGAACTGGATTATATGAGTCTACACTGCCATATAATGTGGTTTATGAATCTTATGCCCCCGGTGGTGCAGTGAGTTAAAGCACTGAGCTGCTGAGCTTGTTGATCGAAAGGTCGCAGGTTTGATTCCGGGGAGCGGCGTGAGCTTCCGCTGTCAGCCCTAGCTTCTGCCAACCTAGCAGTTCGAAAACATGCAAATGTGAGTAGATCAATAGGTACCGCTCTGGCGGGAAGGTAACGGCGCTCCATGCAGTCATGCTGGCCACATGACCTTTGAGGTGTCTATGGACAACGCTGGCTCTCCGGCTTAGAAATGGAGATGAGCACCACACTCCAGAGTCAGACATGACTGGACTTAATGTCAGGGGACTACCTTTTACCTATGAATCTTGATTATCGTCTTTATACTGGATTATATGCTTCTACACGGCTGTATAATACAGATTATCTGATTTGAACTGGAGTATATGAGTCTACCCTGCCATATAATGCGGTTTATTAATCCAGATTATTAGCTTTGAACTGGAGTATATGCTTCTACGCTGCTGTATAATGCATATTATCTGTTTTTTACTGGATTATATGAGTCTACACAGCCATGTAATCCAGTTTCTGAATTCAGATTACCTGCTTTGAACTGGATTATATGAGTCAACACTACTGTGTAATCTGGTTTCTGAATACAGATTATCTGCTTTAAATTGTATTATATTAGTCTGCTCTGCCATATAATCCAGTTTCTGAATCCAGATTGTCTGGTTTGAATTGGATTATATCAGTCTACACTGCCATATGATCCAGTTTCTGAATCCAGATTACCTGCTTTGAATTGGATTATATGAGTCTACACTACTGTGTAATCTAGTTTCTGAATCCATATTATCTGCTTTGAACTGAGTTATACGGGTCTACACAGCCATATAATCCAGTTTCTGAATCCAGATCATCTGGTTTGAATTGGATTATATGAGTCTACAATGCCATATAATCCAGTTTCTGAATCCAGATTACCTGCATTGAACTGGATTATATGAGTCTACACTACTGTGTAATCTAGTTTCTGAATCCAGGTTATATGCTTTGAATTGTAATATAGGAGTCTACACTGCCATATAATCCAGTTTCTGAATCCAGATTATCTGCTTTGAATTGGATTATATGAGTCTACAATGCCATATAATCCAGTTTCTGAATTCATATTACCTGCTTTGAACCGGATTATATGAGTCTACACTACTGTGTAATCTGGTTTCTGAATCTAGGTTATCTGCTTTGAATTGTATTATATGACTCTACACTGCCATATAATCCAGTTTCTGAATCCAGATCATCTGCATTGAATAGGATTATATGAATCCACACTGCCACATAATCCAGTTCAAAGCAGCTAACCTGGGTTCAGAAACTGGATTATGTGTCAGTGTAGAAGGGGCCTGAGGCCGAGTGGGGATTCGAACCCAGATTTCTAGAGTCCTATCGTGCGTCTACATTGCAGCATGATTGTGGTTTGCCTCCATTTCCACTCTCTGAATAAAGAGATGAATAAATGAGTGCAGATTATACAGAGAGATTAAAAAAAGACAAAGAGAAAAGGAAATGGAGGCCATTTATATTCTCTGAGAGTGCGTCAACACTGTTGAATGAATGCAATTTGACACCACTTGAACTGTCAGGGATGGAAATATGGGAGTTTGGAGAGGCAGCAGCATTCTTTTGCAAACTTCCAGCATTTCATAGCACAGCCCTGACAGTTCAAGTGGTGTCAAACTGCATTAATTCTGCAGTGTGGACGCACTCTTAGCATTGCAAGGGGAACGGTTGTAATTGAATGCAATACAGCACTTTCCACTTACCTGTGGATTCTCATGCATGGCCCTTGGGGAAGAGTTCAGAAGCTCAGATGTGTGACGCGGCGGCTTCGCTGGGTTCTCTTGCCCAGGTAATGGTGGTTCAGGTATTGCCAGCGGTTTTTCCATCTGCAAAAGGGGAGGTAAAAGAAATGAAAGGGTGGCCAAAGGGACAAGGAAAGAGGGTGGGTTTATCTCCCCTGGAGGCCATGCAGACCCAGTGGGTGACTTTGGGTAAAGTCCCACTCTCTCAGCCTCAGAGGAAGGCCAAGGGCAACCTCTTCTCAATGAATCTTGCCAGGAAAACAAGTCTACAAGTCAGACTCTAATTGAAAAGACAAGGCCCAGGGTCAAGTCATATAAACAAATGGGTGAACTGACCACACTCTCAACCTTGAAGGAAGGCAAAGGTGGACCTCTTTGGAAAACATCTTAGCAAGAAGATCAGGAATTCGTTAAAGGCACACGCCAAGAACAAACCTGAGTTGCTGCTGTCATCAAAGAGCTTAAAAAGGCGGAGGAGCAATGTTTCCATAAGTAAGTTGGCAACTCTAATTAGTTCTGTGTAACAGATTAATTAAAGGCCCACAACAGGAATTAACCTGAGTTGCTGCTCTCACCAAGGAGCTTAAAGGCGGAGGAGCAATATTCCATAAGTAAGTTGGCAACTCTAATCAGTACTGTGTAACAGATTAATTAAAGGCACAGAACAAGAACAAGCCTAAGTTGCTGCTATCACCAAGGAGCTTAAAGGCAGAGGAGGAATATTCCATAAGTAAGTTGGCAACTCTAATTGGTTCTGTGTAACATATTAAAGGCACAGAACAAGAACAAGCCTGAGTTGCTGCTATCACCAAGGAGCTTAAAGGCGGAAGAGCAATGTTTCCATAAGTAAATTGGCACCTCTAATCGGTTCTGTGTAACAGCTTCATTAAAGGCACGCAACAAGAACAAGCCTAAGTTGCTGCTGTCACCAAGGAAAAGCAGAGGAGCAATATTCCATAAGTAAGTTGGCAACTATAATCTGTTCTGTGTAACATATTAAAGGCACACGACGAGAGCAAGCCTGAGTTGCTGCTATCACCAAGGAGCTTAAAGGCGGAAGAGCAATGTTTCCATAAGTAAGTTGCCAACTCTAATCAGTTCTGTGTAATAGATTAATTAAAGGCACACAGTAAGAACAAGCCTGAGTTGCTGCTGTCACCAATAAATAACAATGACACTTCCCAATGATCTTCCAAAAGTTACATTTTGTGATATTTTCAAAGACGAACGTGTCTCCATCTCTAGATGCTCTTTAGCGGAGATAAAGTACTTTGCAAAACCACAACTCCCATTATTTCTTAGTACTGAGCCATGGGAGTAAAAGCAGGGTCAAGCTGCATTCATTCTACGGTGTAGACCAGGCATGGGCAAATTTGGGCCCTCCCACAATTTCTAACAGCTTCAGGCCCCTTCCTTAAGCGGCTGAGGGGGGAAAGGAAAGGGCTTGAGACTGTTGGGAATTGTGGGAGTTGCAGTGCAAAACAACTCGAGGGCACAAGTTTGCCCATGCCTGGTGTAGACGCACCCTAAAGGTTAAGAAAAAGCAACAGAAGACCAAGAGCATTTCAGAGGCAATTATGCAAGAATAATGGGAATGGCTCATTTTGTCTTTAAGCAGAACAATGACTAGCAGAAGCATATTATTCTGAACCAGAGACACCTCCATTTCTGGTTTGCCTCCACCTGTCTGATCTGGAGCAGGTTCAATGTGCATAGCCAAAGTTTTCTGTGTTTGTTTTGGTGGGGCTTGTTAACGCCATGGTTTTATAGCCCTAATTCTTGGCACTGGTTTCTGCTTTGCATTTCAGCCAAATCGTGCCCTTGGCCCAAGGTTGATGTGCCTTAAAGTCATTCCCGACTTACCGTATTTTCTTGAGTCTCACGCGCCATCAAATTACTTGATCAAAGTATTTGCTGGCGCCTGTAATGCACAGCAGCAAAAAGTGTGCTCTTTGTAATGTGGGGCCATTAGAGTTGCTGCCTCTTCAGGATTGCTTCTTTCAAAACAAAAGTGTTAGAGAACCAAAACTTCCAGTGATGGAAAAGAAACAATGGGGTGTGTCAATGCTGTAGAATGAATCCGCTTTAATTGCCTTGGTTCAATGCTATGGAGTCATGTGGGCTGTAGTTTGACAAGGTCTTGAGCCTTCTCTGCCAAAGAGGGCTGATGCCTCACTAAACTACAAATCCCAGCATTGCATAGTATTGAGCCCTGGACATTTAATTAGAGACGAGGTCCTTCAAAGACGAGGTCCAGGTGCAGCTCCTGAAGCATCTTATTTATTTATTTATTTATTTATTTATTATTTGGACTTATATGCCGCCACTCCCCTGGGGTTCGGAGCGGCTTACAAGACTGGCTAAAATCTAACAAAATTTAAAAGCAATTTAAAACAATTTAAAAACTGCAATATCAAACATTAAAAGCCTGTCGAAACAGGTATGTCTTACATGCCCTGCGGAAAGCTGGTAAGTCCCGCAAGGCACGGACTTCAGGTGGCAGAGTATTCCAGAGTGATGGTGCCACTGCTGTGAAGGCTCTCCGTATCTGAGATACATCGGCCCCAGACCATGCAAGGCCTTAAAGGTGAGTACCATCACTTTGAAAGTGATCCGGTGCTCAATTGGTAACCAATGCAGCTGTAGTAAGATTGGTGTTATGTGGCATCTCATCGGAATTCCCGCAAGAAGCCGAGCAGCTGCGTTTTGTACCAACTTGAGCTTCCGGATCACCGACAGAGGAAGGCCAATGTAGAGGGCATTACAGTAGTCCAGTCTTGAGATGACCGTGGCCTGGATCACCATAGCTAGGTCATCCCTGGACAGGTAGGGGGCCAGCCGTCTAGCTTGCCGCAGATGAAAGAAGGCGGTTCTGCTAACGGCGGAGACCTGGGCCTCCATCGTCAGCAGAGGGTCCAAAAGGACTCCCAGACTCTTTACCAATGATGACGGGCGTAGCGCCTCGCCATCCAGGGTAGGCAGCTGGATATCCCCACTGCCCGGTCGACCCAGCCATAGGATCTCCGTCTTTGCTGGATTCACCCTCAACCTGCTGGCATGCAGCCATCCAGTAACGGCCTCGAGGCACTGATGGAAACAATCGGGTACAGAGTCTGGTCGGCCTTCCATCTTCAGCACCAGCTGAGTGTCATCGGCGTACTGATAACACTCAAGCCCAAAACCTCGAAACCAGCTGAGCAAGTGGTCGCATATAGATGTTAAATAACAGAGGGGAGAGAATGGCCCCCTGAGGAACCCCACAAGATAGAGGGGACCTCTCAGAGACCAGGCCTCCCCTCTCCACTCGCTGTCCACGGTTGTGAAGAAAGGAGGACAGCCGGTTTCTTTGGCTCCGGCTCAGCACTAAGGTTGCTGTATTACACAGATCTAATGTGTATCCTGATTTTGGTCAGGACATTTAGCCAAAAAGGTGTGCATTAGATTTGAGGAAATAGGTTATATTGTTTGGTTCAGAGAGGGCCTTCGTCTGAGGCTGAGAGAGAGTGACTTGCCCAAGGGTTTTTCCTAGCCAAGTGCAGATTCGAATTCTGCCTATTGTTGTTTCCAGCACACTGACATTTGTTTGTTTGTCTTCCCAAGAGATTTGCAGGATTTTCTGTAGGCAGCGCTGATGGAATTGTTCCAGGAGTTGCATGTGACGTCTGTAGACAGTCCACATCTCGCAGGCGTATAGCAGGGTTGGGAGGACAATAGCTTTATAAACAAGCACCTTGGCACCCTTACGGATGTCTTGATCCTCAAACACTCTCTGCTTCATTCGGAAAAAAGCTGCACTCGCAGAGCTCAGGCGGTGTTGTATTTCAGTGTCAATGTTGACTTTTGTGGAGAGGTGGCTGCCAAGGTAGCGGAAATGGTCAACATTTTCTAATGTTACACCATTAAGCTGTATTCTGGCATTGGAGAGGGGTTGGCTGGTGACTGCTGGAACTGCTCTTTGGTTTTCTCGATGTTCAATGACAGGCCGAGCTTCTTGTATGCTTCTGCGAAGGTGTTTAGAGTGGCTTGTAGGTCTTCTTCTGAATCGCACAGACGATGTTGTCATCTGCATACTGGAGTTCTAAAACAAATGTTGTAACCTTGGTTTTGGCTTTCAGTCTGCTGAGGTTAAATAGCTTGCAGTCTATTCGTTAGATGATTTCTACTCCGGTGGGAAGCTTCCCATCAACAAGATGAAGTATCATAGCGATGAAGATGGAGAATAAAGTTGGGGCAATAACACATCCCTGTTTGACACCTGATTCCACCTTAAATGGGTCACTTTGGGAGCCATTGCTGTCCAAGACTGTTGCCATTATGTCATCATGGAGGAGCCGCAGGATGTTCACAAATTTGTTGGGGCACCCAATTTTTTGGAGGATGGTCCAGAGAGCGCTGCAATTCACTGTGTCGAATGCCTTTGCACGGTCAATGAATGCCATATAGGAGGACTATCCTACTTGGACAACGAGGGATTGCCTAAGTAAGTAAGTAAGTAAGTATTGTTGTTTGTTGTTGCTGTTGATGATGAAATCTGGCCTTCCAAAGTCCTAGTCTGAACACTCAAAGCCACTGCACTGCTTTCAGGGTTCGTTCGGCCAGGGTTTGCTTCCCTCCGAGAGTGTGATTTGCTTTTGTTTCCTTTTGGAGTCATCTTGCTCTTGAGAAATCTGGTTGAATTGGGGTTGGACTGGACGACCTGCATGTTGAATTGGGGTTGGACTGGATGACCTGCATGTTGAATTGGGGTTGGACTGGATGACCTGAATGTTGAAGTGGGGTTGGACTGGATGACCTGCATGTTGAATTGGGGTTGGATTGGATGAACTCTAGGGGCCCCTTCCAACTTTAGGATTCTGTGATTCCGTGTCAAGAGGAACAAGAGTCATAGAATCATAGAATCATAGAGTTGGAAGAGACCTCATGGGCCATCCAGTCCAACCCCCTGCCAAGAGGCAGGAAAATTGCATTCAAAGTACCCCCGACAGATGGCTATCCAGCCTCTGTTTAAAAGCTTCCAAAGAAGGAGCCTCCACCACACTCCGGGGCAGAGAGTTTCACTGCTGAACAGCTCTCACAGTCAGGAA